AAAATCTCTTGCAAAGGTGCAGAGAAGCATTTTCCATGGGTTTCACAAGAACAGGATAATTTTGGTCAGAGATATTTGAAGCATTAAGGGAACACAGACTTCCACATCCCGTAACCTTCGAAATACCCGGCTGAATGGTAAAATAATCAGACTAGGAGCACTATAAAATGCTCACTTTAGTTCTTTGCAGACATACTTTCCCACTTAGTTCTTGCAGAAAACTCCTTCTTCCCTCCAAAGCAAGTCTCTAGAGATGCCTCTGCAGTCCACTGGGGAGCTCTGCTTCCCACACTCTCATGTTCTTCCTTAGCAGTGTGTTCCCAAATACAAACTGTGCTTTACTTGCCATTAATGTGTCACACTTCAGAGCATGGCAATTACTGAAAAAGTGAGTGAGGTGATATTTGACTTGCGAATTTCAGGGGTTTTCATATGGAAAAGGTGCCTGCTGTTCCTAGTATGATAGCCCAGCTCCATCCTGAATCTGAAGGCAGGCAGCACCTGATGTTGGAGAGAAGGGGGAGCCTCTTATGTTTTATCTGATGATGCTTTCTTAAAGCAGAGGCTGTTTAGCTCTCCCATAAACCATCTCATATTGTAAATCAAAAGCATTAAAATACTATGATATTATATCAATCTACTTGATTCCGTAAGAGCCTGGTACAATGAGTCTAACCAATAGCTCCATTTTCCTCTTCCTAAGCACTCTCTTTTCTCATAGAATCACAGAATACTTAGGGTTGTAAAGGACCTTAAGATCATCTAGTTCCACCCCCCCTGCCATGGCGGGTTGCATGACTTTGAGATCACACCATAGAGTGTTACTCACTGAAGAGGGAGCTGGGGTCCTTGTGTTTTACCCTTTTTGCAATACATGCTTTCCACAGACTAACGCAAACGCTTAGATCTATTGCTTCTCCTCATTCTGCTATGCAACACACAGAACACACTTCAGCATAGCCTCATCATCAGAGCTACATAATCCTCAATTGTGATAATCTTTGGTTAAAAACATGCAAGTAGAGAGCCGATCAGAACAGCACATGGGAATGATAGAGAGCTGACATTAGTTTCCATGGCATTGTGTCTTTTGTTTTGGACATGTTTTAGATTCCCAGTTTGTGTGGAACAACCGCATTTTCGTTGTCCTGTCGTCAATAAAAACCAAATTTGCTCCTGTCTCACTATCCCCACCAAAACCCCCAACAGTCAGTAAACTGTCCCCTCCACAGTTTGAGCAGGAGTAAGCACAGATAGTCTACTACTGGGGTGCATGCTCATCTGTGTTACTCTAACAATATTCTTCATAATCCTCCAAATCTGAACTAACCTCAACTTTGTGTCACACTTCGTCAACTCACATTTCACTGTCTTTAGGATGCAGTTAGCCTTTTAAGGACTCCCACTTGAGAAGCGTTTAAACAGCAGCTCTCTGTTGTCTACTGTTCTCTTCATAGAATCACAGAATAGTTAGGGTTGGAAAGGACCTTAAGATCATCTAGTTCCAACCCCCCTGCCATGAGGAGGCACACCACACACTAAACTGTGTCGCCCAAGGCTCTGTCCAGCCTGGCCTTAAATGCCTCCAGGGTTCATACTTCTAAAGAAATCCTTGTGACCGCAAAAAACAGTTTGGATTTGCAAATCTTGCCAGAGCTTCTCCCAGTCACCTTAAACTCCTGGCAGTACTTGTAAATCATAACTTTTTCCAACCCTTTCCAGCTGATGCCATTCTCTTAGTTCTTATGGCAGCCTTTAGCACGAGCTTGTGAGATAGGCCTTCACATCCCAGTCTATTTCCCCAGTCCACTAAGCCTTCATAAAGATAACTTCTTCTGTTACTTCTAATAACTGAACTATTTCATTCTGCATTGTTAAGTCAGGTTAATTCCACCTGGTACTGGTGATGTGTAAAAACATTCCTGGGTTTTCCACCTTGCCCTGAACACCTCCAATGCTTCCAGTATCTGATATTCCACAACTCTTATGGGCAGAGAAACAATTGTTAGGACAGAATTTCTTGGTGAAGTTTACCACAAGTGATTACCTTCCACTCACCCCACCACTTAAAAATGCAAAGCCACAATTCAAATTCATTGTGCAGTGCCTGCAATTTTAAGCAAAATTTGTTTGCTTGTGTCAAACAGCTTCACTGACTTCAGAGTCTGAGCCACGCTGCAGGAAGGGGATGTTGCCAAAGGCCTGGCTTCCTCAGAAACATATTGGCAACTTAGCTACGTCCTTGGGATGGTATCCCCTTCAAAAACCTGCTCTTCAATAGAGAACATGATCCAGAATATTAATGAGGCACGTATACAAACTGAGGCACTCCATTATTGAACAATATTACTTGAAGCGTTATGTCCAGGACCATTCACAGCCCTGTTTAACACATGTGATCAGCAATGCTTTCCCCCATGTCAGGAAATACTAGCATCCTACAGCCCTTCGCCACACACAGACGGGACAAGCCGGTGTGCTGAAGCCTAAGGCTCCTGCAGACAGGTCCTTTTCCCCTGGTGCTCAATGTGTTCCTGGTGCGCGGCAGCCCGCCAGCTCGCTGCCAGCACTGCCAACGGCTGGGCCCGGCTGCCTGGGCGGATCTCAGTAGGCTTTGAAGTTGTGTAAATCGAAACAGCTGCTATTTCATCACAGTTCTCCTTTTCTTCTTGGAAAGCACCAAGAAGCCTGAAATGGCCTGGCGGCGCCTCCCCCCGCGCTGCTCCCTCACAGAACCACCTCACGCCAGCTCCTGCCGCCTCACCGAGGCGGTGCCTCACAGCAGCTCCCACCCAGCTCCACCGAGCATGCAGGCGGCAGGGTTTGCCCGTTACTCACTCTGTCCCGAAGCACAGCTGACTTCTCTCCTGCATTAGCTTTGACACACGGGAACACCCATTTATCCTACTGATGACTGCTCTGAGCACCACAGAAAGGCAAAGAGTAGCAGCAGCTCATCTGAGGGCAGGCCTTGTTCTCCCACCCACCCCGGTTCTTACCTGGTAGTGCAGCACACGTGGGAGCACACAGACAGGTCTGTTCCTCAGCAGTTCAGCCTGCAGGGCAATCGAGCACATACCTCCAAGGAGGCATTGAAACAAGGGAGAAACTGCAGTCTTCCACCTTTAGTGACCTGGCCAAGAATCAGTGTTGAGGGGGAATTTCTGGAAGAAGAATTAGAGTTTCAGAAAAACACTCAGTATGTCCCAAAATTGCTGTACAGCACGTAATTTTAAAATTGTTGCAAATCTATGGCTTGCAATTAAAATAGCAGAGAAAGCAGAAAGTTCCTTTTGCCTTCTCTTCGTGTTCAAAGATGAGTAATTTCTCACTTTTGTAATGCATCCCAAGAGTTAAGCACAAAATTGACTGTACAAGATGCAAGCTTGGACAAAATTGACGATGTGCTTGGGCACTGTCTGAAGTGGTCAGAGGAGCATAAAAATCTAACGGTCTGATTCTACAGTGATCTGGAAGTCATTTAATTTGCATGAACGATCCTTCTAAAGCCTTCAATAAGGTTACAATCAAAGATTTCTGATACTCCTTCTCTGGCAACAACACAACAACCTAACACAACTCTGCCACACAGATTCAAACCAATACTGAGGCTTACACAAAGCTATTGCAGACAGATTTCCATTCAGAACCATGGATTGTTTTGCCTCCCCCAAGAAAAAAAAAATAAAGAAAAGCAACATCCATCTATTTTATTTTAATCTTTATTATAAACAATTTTGTAGTTTCCAGAACGGGATTACTACATACTAGATAACAAAAACATCCTCAGATGAATCAGTTTTAGCTTTTACTATATTGAATCAGAACCAGCAAAACAAGTATTATTTTTTAAAGGATTTAGTCTATTGCCAGAAAACCAGCTTTAAACATGAAACAGAATTAAAGATACACATTTGATCATATATACATAAGCAGCTGATGACACTCTGGACAGAAACACACAAGGAAATTTTTTGCACATAAATAGATCTTTAAAAGTATATTTCTTTCACATGTATACAAAATTATTTTGCTTTCTATATTGAGCAAAACTCTTAGAGACATAAACAAGGATTTCTAAGAGACAAAATCCCACATACTGCTTAGGATGTGGGCTGTCATGCACACCAGGATGTAATAAAACAATTTACATAGCATTCATATACAATACTTGAACTTCTTATACACATACTTACAGACACTTTTGTACATAAGATGCCACCTTTACAACTGAAATGACATCTGCCCTGAAAGGCTGCGTAAGTTCCAGTGTTTGTATAAAAGATAAAACAAGTTTCAAAAGGCAGCACCACTTGGCTTGCAGAGACAAGGATCCACTGAGCTGCAGCTGTAGTGAAGGCAGTGGGGAAATCAGACTGGCCTCTCTGTGTTTACACAGTCCCAGTGGGGAAGGCTGAGACGTGACCCTTGAAGTCTACACTTTACCTCTAAAATGTGGCTGTGGCAAGAAGAACAGATTTTAACAGATGGCTAAAGCCACAGAGTTTTGCTTTTCAGCTTTATCTTTGAGCTATGTAAGCCAAGTATCTGTGGTTCTGTCTTTGGGGTGGGGAGAATTTTGGCTTTTATTTGACCTTTTCAGCATGGTTAAGTTATCAATGGCAGGGCTGGGTTCAGCACACACACACGACCTGTGAAACTCTTCTTTAATGCAGGTAGAAGGGGTGCACAGTGCAGCAATGACAGGACCCTGTTAAGCTTCTGGAGTGGGGAATGCTCAACACCTTTGAGAATCAGGTGCTAAGTCTGCTGTGACATCAGACTTCCACTTTGTTGTAGGCACGACAGTGTCAAAAGAAGGTCTGGGGTTTTGCTCCTTGTTTCTCTGAATCATACGTTGTCCAACTAGAAAACAGTACGTGGAGAACACTCAGAGTAGCATGCAGGTGGTGCCTTTTAAGACCTGGCACAGTGTCTAGACAAATGCTACCTTGATGTCAGCAATGCCAAACACACATACTACTAGCAGCATCCATGGGTTACACACACCCGTACTCATACCAAACTGTCTGCTGATCCCCCTGGGGGTCTGGAGACCCAGTAGTGCTGTTGGAGCTGCTTCCTCTCATGGGCTCCTCCATAGCTCCAGCACTGCCTTCTGGCAGCTTACCCTGGCACTTGCCAAGTAGGGCATCACTCTGGCTTTGCCCTAGGGAAATACTTCCCTCAGTGCTGCTGGAAACAGGTCTGGCAGGGGCCACGGTGGCCACCTCCCCAGTACGAGGGGCTGGCTTGGGTTTCACTTTAGAGGGAGTGTGTGATGGAGGTGAGTAGTGCTGCCCAGAGTTCATGCGCTCTTGCTGCTGGACATGCAGATTGCTGGTGGATGCAGTGGGTGAGGCAGAGAGCTGATGGAAAGAGAGTGGCCTCTCATCTTTTGGTGGGGCCAGGGAATGGCGCCTCGCATCAAGCTGCCAACAGTGAGAATCAACACCTTGCAAGGAACCTCCCACCTTGGCAGACTGTGGCCTCTCTCTTAAGGTTACCTGGGAGTTTGTTGGCACTGAAGCTCTAGCTGTCTGACTAACAGCGTCCTTGCCCCCACGCTGGTCTGTTGCTGACTTCTGAGGACTCTCTTGCCTGTAGGCCTCTGGGCCAGTGGCTCTGAGGAGGTCTGCAGATGCTAAGCTAAATGCCCTGCTCAGTGATGTACTTCTCCTGCTCGTGGTTCCGGGCTGCTGCGGCTGCGCCATCTGCCGCATTCCACTGGCAGGCTGGTGCTGTGCTGTGTGAAAAAGTTTAAGGGACCCCTGGGAGTTTGTCAGAGGGTCAGGTTCGACTTGTCTAAGGTTTGGCTTTGTGTAATTTCCAGGCTTAGCCATTCTTCCTTCTTCATTGGTGATGGTTATCTTTCCAGTTGCAGCAACAAGACTACCAGGCGTCTTAGCACTCTCCTTTCTGGATGGCTGAACCAGCAGGTTCCCAGTAGCTGAAGGCTCATTTGTTTTCTTAAAGTAATCGCTGAGCAAGTCATCTCTGTTACTGCAGGTGTCCTGGTGTAAGAAAATACGCACATGCAACATTAATGACAACACTTACTTGTTTAAAGAGTCATACAAACATTTGTGTTCTGACAATCTCCCTTCCCACTTAATTCAACCCAAACACAACTCTAGATTTTATATTTTAAGTGGGGAATGGAAGATATAAATGTTTACATTGGGTATAAATCCAAATCAAGGAGTCATGCTCATCACATTTAGAACATGACAGCCTTGTTTGCCAGATTAATTGTCATAAATTTTAAAAGTTTCATTTCACTTGCAATCTGGGCAGCAGCTCTTTTGCTTCCTTTCACACCAGCCGCTGTCATTGTAACATCAATATCCTATTAATGACATCAGCCATTGATTTCGGCAAAGATGGTCTGTCACCTTCCAGAATACAGTTCATCTGGTCAACACTCCACTGTAACTTCAAGGATGTAACAGGAGACACGCTAACCTTACGAGAAAGTTTCATCACTTCTCCATTGATTCCCTCCACCTTTCCTAGTCAATATACTATGTATGTTAAAAGCTAAGCATGTACAATATAATGAAATGTACAAAAAAAATCATTACAGGAATGGAAATACAATTGCTTGCCCACAATTAACTTGCAAATTTCAAGTCAGACAATTAACCTGGCAGTAAAAGAAAATATACAATGAATATTTCATGTGGATGGTCCATGCAATCTAAAAATGGTGATTTTTGATCAGTTGCTGTTGGACTATTAGTACGAGGCATGGTCAGAACAGTTAAGGGACATGCTGTTTTCACAAAAAACATGCTGAAACAAGCTCATAAAATTTATTTCTTTAGTCTTCACTAGGGAGTACGTTAAAGTTTAATATAGTCATTTCACTAGTATTCCAAATGTTTCTTCTGGTCACAAAACTCATTTGCCAGAAGTGAACACCGTCAATGGTAATAGTGCAGCGGGAAGATTTTTATGCTTGCCTAAATGTTAAAGTACTAGGGTTAATTTTAACTTCACTTTAAACTGCTGTTATGCACATTAAGATTACAGAGTGACTAGTCCTCCCAAAACCACACATGTTTATGAACAAGCACTGGAAATACTTTATGAGCAATTAATGCAAGTGATCTGGCAGCCTTTAAAATCACAGCTAAGAGTTACAGGATGCTTTTATAGGTATTAATGTGCTAGCAAAAACTGTTATAAGCTGGGAGCTGTTGTCAAGAACAATGGATACCCTGGGCATATACAGTGAAGTAGATCTCCTATTTCCCCTGACTGTTCTGTGCCTCATGCTGTTGGGACATGAATGACTGGGGATCGATTCGAGTGACTGTGAAGGTTCCTGATGGAGGGAAGGACACAGGGAGTAGCAAGAGGGATACAGTGCATCAGCTTCTAACAGAAATTGGTGCAGTGAAATCATTTCACTCTCATTTAAACTGCGCCGACGCTAAAAAGGAACAAGGATGACAGAAAGAATGAAAATAGAGACATGGTCAAGTAGTTGCAAACAAAAAAACACAAAACAAAAAAAAAATCTCATCTTAAACGTCTCTCAAGCTAAGATTTGTATTTAAGATAACGAAGGAATAGGAGGTATATTTAAATATTACTCTGAAAATGCAAGGACCAGAATTCACTTATGCCATAAAATGGTACAGCTCTGTTGATTTCAATACTGTTGCCAAGGCATTCATGAAATAGAAATGCGTCCACTTTCACTATCAACGAATTGTTCTTAAGATACTAATATGCTTGATACTGTAACGCCTCATTACTGTACAGCATGTCAGAAGACATATGCCATCTAGAAACCAAGCATTTAATATCTGACAAAGCACCCCAATTTGCAACATGTTCTTGCAGTCATTGAACCAACAGCACAGTGCCAGTCAGCACACAAACACACAGCATGGTGAAAGCATCGAGAACTTCCTGTGGCAAGAAAAATATTCTCTCTCAAATGCACTGATGGTAGTTTCAGATTAGGAAATAGTTTTAACAACTGTGTGTGTTGCACTTCAATTGCAACATTAGGTTTCATTCCTAATTACAGAGTTAGCAGCTGAAAATTATACAGAAAACTTACCAGTTCACAAATAAAATACCTGGAGCTGAGAACTGACAACGTAATATGAAACCTTGACCCCAAGTGTCTGATATGAAAAAGCCCCAGCAGTCCAATATCTAGTATTTGAGGTGAATTATTTGCCTAAGTTGCCATAGCTGATACGGCATAATAAATCAGCTGTGTGAAAGTTAATCTTGCCTTAATTGTTTTAACTGTTTCATTCATTTTGCAACATTCCACAGTTCTCTGCAAGTTCCACACATATGAACAAGGATCTTGTTGTCTTTCCTTGTTTCCCTATGCCCTCATCCCCCTGCATCAGCTTGGAACAATTTTTTGACATCTGAGATAGGCCACCTAGCTCTATTTACTTACACTTGGTGGGGACAGTCTGTTGCTCTCTTCCAAGAACTCTTCCAAAGTTACCATCTCACTGCCAGGTGAAGCAGACCGTTGTCTACCTGAGTAAGACTGGGATGGAGTACTTTTCTGAGGTATATCATATGAGATCAAACCATTCCTGTGGGAGGAGGATTCATGCCTGCTGCTAGGGTTTAAGACAGTGGAAGCAGAGTGAAAGGGATAGTTGTCACGGAGCAAGGCTGGTGTCTCTCGGCTTGGCACTGTATCTTCACTACTGAGGCTCTCGGTTCTACCATGGATATGATCTAAGGAACCTGAGGAGAAGCATAAATATTGTTAAAGGCACTGTTCTTCCTGCATTTCATATTTCTCACTGAGGTAGGAACTTCATCATTTGGGGCTATTTCCACACAGACTAGGTGGCATTTTTGACCTTGCTTCTCCCACAGAACTCAAGGCAGCCAGAACTTTGAAATGTCAGGGCTAGTAGATCCTGTGTTAAAAAAGCCCAACTACTTGTCCAAATAGGAATAACATAAATAGTAAGGGGGCCTCTTTACAATCTCTGTGCCACTAGATCTCCCCAGTTTTGGCTGTGTGTGACCTGAGAGCAAAAACCTGCCAGTGGGAAAGCAGGAAGTGGATTTTTCCACAACATCAGGTCTCCTGGTATCCTTCAAGGACATCCAATTTCAGCAAAACTCCAGAGCACAGTGATTCCATACACAAGCTGTGTGCAGAGTAAGAACAGCAGAGACTGTTGTTGTAAGAGGAGTCTAAGAGTAGCATGGTACTTCCCACAATATGATGCCAGTCAAACTGAAGCAAAACTAGACTGCCTGCCTTAAAAGCTACCTCTTGCCAGAATCAATCTCAGAAAAATACTTCTTGCCAGGAGTTTTGATTCCCAAGACAGCCACATCCAGATTGCATAATCATTACAATTTCAAAACAGCAGTCTTCAGATTTAACTGGAAGGAAAACAGCATTTTGTACACAGTTTCATGGAATTTCACTTCCTGTTTGTCAGAACCCAGTTATAAAAGCTTTACCTTTCAAATTGAGAGGTGAACTACTGCTGGAAGCGTTTCTGCTGCTCTCTAAACTGTTTGGCCTGGAGACTGAAAAACACAAAACAAGCATTGAACAAACAGATTTTAAGTTCCTCTGATTCTCTAGAAGACTTGGCTACAGTCTGTCTTCTGAAAATAGAACCCGTGCAACTAAGTCACTTTGAAAACATTAACAACGTAATATACACAGGATGCCAAAGTCTGGACAGAGTAGAAACCATTTTCATTTTTCAAGTCAAGTTGTTCAGTATCCATCTTGTTTTTCTCACTTTCTGCACAAAAATGTTCAGGGTTTTCTTTCACAGCAACTATAAACAAAGTAATGTAAACACTGAAGTTCGACAATAAGTTGCTGTCTCTTTCTCAATTATTTCTTTGGAAGGAGCTGGTAACCGGCCTTCAAATTAAGTTTTCCTTAAATCTCTAAGCAGGCAGTGCTTCTTCTGTATCAGTGTTCCCACTGTGCATCCACATCCCCCACCTGTAATTTTTTTTATTGCTGAGTTGCTCCCTTAAGGAAGGAATTGAACATTGTTCAGAAAAATCAGCAACAAATCTGTAGGTCATGCATTAAAGTCTGTTGCTGGGGCAAGGCAACTCATCTCAATGACAGCATTGTTTTTGAAAACTTCTTTTAGGAAAAAGTCCATTAAAAGCTTCTCAATAGAAAAATAGAAGCACTTAGACCCACATTCCCCAAATGCTGTTGCATTACTACCTTTTCTTCTATCATGCTAATTTAACTAAAATGCTCCAAGACAGTTCACGTGGATGCAATCAAACAAGTCTTAATGTAGAAGTTCAGAGTGTTCGTGCATGCTGCAAGCTTACCGTGCTGTCTGGTGCTTGGAAACTCCACCTCAGGGGACTGTTCACATAGATTATCTTCTGAATTATAGCCTGAAAAGAATACCAAACATAAAAGGCTATATTAACATAGGAAGGTTAATCCTTCAGGTCAGTCTCCAATGCATTCTAGCAGTGTAGAACACTGAGGCTATCAAGAGGGTTTTACAGAGCGAACACTGGAAAAGCAGCCATCTTAGAAACACTGCTGTGAACCACTGGGCAGGGAACCACAGGAGAACTGACATCCAAAGGTGGTCTGTCAAGTTGATGACATGACAAGAGTGAGGAAACCCTGTAACTGGATCAATTAAACCGTTAAGCAGATAAAGTAGGAATGAAGATACTAATGCTCTGGTTTTATACTTGAATGCCACTAGAAGCCATGTTTCACCCAAGCAAGAACTATGAAGTAGCCCAAGTTGTACTAACAGCTGGTATATCAAACGCACTGCACTGCACACCTTTTGGTCTGCTCTGCAGCCTGGAGATGGGAGTGGAAGTTTGTAGATGAATAGCTGAGGTTGAGTAAGTCCTGGGACTCAGCTCCACACAGGAGTGTTTTGTCGCAGAGTCTGATGCAATTTCAACATAATCATTGCTGCTTCCATGATGGGAATTCCTCTTTTGCTTTAGGTCCATTATCACTGAGGGGGAGAGAGGTGAATAAATACAAGTCGATGAAAAATAGCATTAGGAGATTTTGTATTCATTTGCCTATACAAACATGACAAGCAGGCACAAAGAAACTGCATAACAGAGGCACCAGTTTTGCAAGCTTTTCCATAAACAGTTCAGTATTGGATAGAAAATTTCTGCCACCAGTTTTTCAGTCACGTGTGCTCTCTGTAAAGTGTGGGAGTGACAAGGGCTGCTTAGTGCCAGTGGGAGGGTTGATATTATACATGCAATAATTACTGTGAAAGGAGGAAGAAAAGGAGAAAAGACATGAATGCAGAAAAGATAAGTGAGGTGTGAAATTCCCATAACATTATTCCTTGCAGGTACATTTTATAAGCACTTCAGTAGCAAAAT